AAAAAAAAACGAAGTAAATCTATGATCTCAAAATCTGAAATACAGTATACCAATTCATCGTCGTCCTCGTGTTCCTCCTCAACTTCTGGAACAACTTGCAATACGGTGGGCTTCCTTCCTGTTTGCTGTGTAGCACTTTCGCTATCACTCAAGTCTTCCGTCTCACTTTGAATACCAATGTCGACCATGTCAACTTTCACAGAGCCAACTGGAAATGTGCCGACAAACGAATTCAAGAAACCATACATTAGTAAGAGATGTCCCCAGGTAACAAATCAATGCCTTTCCCTTTAAAAGATATTACTTAATCCATGAGGGTAGCCAAATAGAGTAGAACCCTAATTAAAGAATCAACCACAAGGTAAAATAATAAGCTACAAAAAAAAAAAGGGAAAAAATGTGAACTGAGTAAGGCTGCAAACAAATGAAATCGGCTAAACGACTGGCATACGTTCCAATAACTTTTTCCATAGGCGGTTGCCAAAGGTGTAAAAGGCGGCTGGGTCCAGAAAAGAGGCCAGAAGACGTAAGCCAAACACAAGAGCCTGCCCACTGACTAAACAGATGGCACTGAGAGGTTTTAGAGGCAGCGGTAGATCACCATTGACCCAGCAGCTTTTATTAAAACCCTCTGGACTGAACTATCTACAACACTTTTTTCAGGGATAATTTTTTACAACAAGGTGGTGGGATGCTCGGGTTCCATCGAGGGCAAAATACAACATACAACATTTTGTAGTGTGGTTACTTTCCACCCTAAGATTAATGATGGATGAGACTTCATGAACTACCTTGACTATTTGTTGCCTCTACTGTAACAACTTGTTTCACTTCAGAACTTTCCCCCGTTGTGTCTGTTTTCTCAAATGGTTCGACAGTGGCTGGTGTTTTATCTGGGGATTTTGATTTCAACTGTTTTTCTGTTGTCCCTGTAGAATTCCTCTCTTTAGCACTGCTCTTTTTGGTGTCAGTTTTTGATTCTTTATGGGAAAGAGAAGACTTCCGTGAAGGGCTTTCACCAGGTTTTTCTTGAGTAATCTCCACAGATGGTGATGTTTGGGTCGGTGTTGTTGACTTGTTTATTGGAGTAGAGGAACTGTCACTCAGGTCTGAAACTGATCCTCCATCACTCTGAAAGTCCATCAAATAAAGACAAAAACCTTTTGATTGAATAGAGATCTTTGACAAAAGTACAGCAAACAATTGTAAAATTAGACCTGGCTAAAATTTTATACCTTAAGCTGAACTCGGATACAGTGAAAATACTAACATTTTTTAAAATTTGTTTGAGGTTAAATCAAATAATTGATCAATCATTAAGGAACTGAGTTAGTATTAGGGAATACACATACAGCTTGCATGACAGAGGATAAAAACTGTAGTAAAACAGAGCATTATGCTACTCAATGACTCCACATAGTGTACATAACCATGCAACGTGGCCTCAAGGGACTTCAGTCCCCTCTGCATTATTTTGACAAAAGCACACATGTACTTCCAAACGACCCTAAGTGAAAAAAGGGATATCATAACAGCACACAAAAACTCAGTTTATCTACCTGCAAGTACATATAAATAGTATAGTGGGAACAGCCCAGTAATATTTGACCAAAATAAAATTGATTCTTTTTTTTTTTTTTAACATTGTATCATGCATATGTGTACAATGTTAAGTCCTTACCTGCAGACTCTGTTTTCCTTTGTTCAAGAGTCTGACAGCCTGTGCTGAAGACTTCATTGATAATTTTCGGGGAGTTTCTCCACCAAAATCACTCTCTGGTGAAAACAGACTACTTCGTTTGCTTCCAGAATCAGCTGCTATGGAGTTACGCTTGCTGGAATCTGATAACTCAGTTTTAAGCTCTTCACTTTTTCTTCTTGCCTGCCAAGAGAGTAATTGCCAGTCTCTGTTATTGTGTGATCATAATGTGAACAAAAAAGCTATAATTCAAAATAAGGGGAGGGTGCATTTAAAAGCCCAGATAATCACAGGAGTTTCTGTTTTCACTGGACTCTGAAAATGACTTATATTCAGGTTGTGTCAATCATGTCAACAGAATAAATTTTCTAGAAAACTTCTCTAACAACTAAATTCTAGTGAAATATAATCATTTAATGATCGTATACTACCTGGAGACAAGAGGCTGACTCACATACATGTAGTGTGTACATGCAGTCTGAATGTAAATAGTCAAACACCTTTACTTTTGGTTTCAAAGGTTAAGGGAAATTCCCAACTTATTTTTAAGACTACAACTCACCCAAAAAGTCTTAATTAAACTCATCATCGAAGGAGATGGAAAATCACAGATGTGCATCAAATTTGGGATATTTTATAGAAAATAAAAATTCAAAATGATGGTAACTTACCACATCAAGTGCCTTTTGCATCCTATCTAGCTCAACCTTGTGATCACTCTGAATTTTGGTCAGTTCTCTCTGATGGCCTCCCACCAATTCCTTGACTTGTTCATCATAATGTTGTTTCAATTCTGAAGCAGTACACATCAGCATAGGCAATGATTGGTTAACTGATTGACTGATTGATTGATTGATTGATTTATTAAACATAGTGGAAAAAAATTAAATTATCAAGAAGGACACCTTTTTTGCATTTTTTATTATTATCTTTTTTTTTTTCAGGTGTATCATAGCATAATAGCCAGGGAAACTGGGAACTAAACATAGTTTACCTTAACTGTAAATATTAAAATAATCACCTTATACCAATTAAAATAATTTTATTGAAAGTTCACCTGATCTCAGATCTGCTATATACTGCTGCTGATCCCGAATTTTTTCTTCATATGTATCCTTAGATTTCTGCAAAGAATAAAAAGTAAAGAAAACATGATTGTCGTGACTGTAAGATAATAAAAGGTGCATGCACATACCATGCATTTCATTTGTAAGTATTAATTATAATTAGTTATCTGCAAAATGTTCTAGGGAAAAATTTTCGTGTATATTCTGTACCTGGTTTTCTTCTTTCATTTTTTTGTTTCTTTCAAAGTCTCTCTCTTGCTTATCCTCTAAATGAGCTAGATTAAGCTCAAGTTCTTGAATCGTCTAAAAATTAATACATTCAAAAATAAAATTAAGAAGAAATTATATACATAAACATATCCTACAAGAAAGGGACTAATAAAGACAAATTATAAATTAAAGCAAATAACACAGCGGTAATCTTTGTGATTAAAATGATTTCTTATGTTAAATATTGCAAAATTAATCCTTGTGTTGGTAATTAACAAGCTCCATAAATCAATTGATGTTAATACTCTGACAAACAGATAAAACCTAATGAAAATTTTGCTCTTACGTCAGTCCACATGCATGCCTCAGTGGTAACTTAAAGATTATTTTATTGTAAAATATCATCACCTTGTTGGCTCTTTGAAGGTCTGTATCTTTGACAGTAAGCTCTACTTTCAGCTCTTTGACTGTCTCATTAGCTTTCTGCAAGTATCATCAATCAAAAATGAACAAGATTTTTTATGTGCAGGTTTTCCTCAAGAGCTGGAAAAAAAATGCTATATTCTTAAAATTCAAAATTATTCTTCTCTCATTGAAAACTTGTTGTAGGCAACAAAAGAACCAGGCTTACCTTTGCATTTTCCCCTTGAACCTTAAGCCTGCAAAAGAGAGGTATAAACAACTTACCACCAGAGACCACCTACGTTCACTTTTTCAAAGAAAAAGTTAAGAGAGGGAAGAGAGCCCTGATTATAAATTTTACCTAGCCTCCTTATTAATAAAACAAAAAACAACAAATAGTACTGCTAAAAAGTATAGGAGGGAAAAATAAATTATACCTTTCAATTTCCACTTGTTTCATCTCCATAGACTTATACATTTGGGACATCTTGCCCTCACTCTCTTCAAGATCTATATTGAATTTATTCCATGAAAATTCTTAGTGCAAAAAATAACAGTCTTATTCATTGCATGTCACAAAATGAACTCTGTGAGAAAAAAGACAAACCAATTACAGTGATTGTCATGTACATCATGTACAATTAGCCCAGAAGTAGTTATGTTAATCATTGATTGGTCTTTCTAGTGTTATAACATTGACTCTGGGTTAGATCACAAGGGTCTTTAAAACTGTTTTATTTGTAGCTTCTAGTCTTTGTGTGGCCAGGGAAGTCATACAGTACTGTATTTGTACAAGTATCTACAGAATGACCATAGAGACAGAGGACCCCAACTGAATTATTAAAGTCTGATAAAATGACAATTTTGTAATGAAATGGTGTATACTCCCCTTAGTCAAAAAAACAAAAAACAAAAAAACAAATAGAGTCTAATAAGTCTGGATTGTGCTGTCGATGAAGTAAATAAGAGGTGTAAAAGTCGGTCACATATATCAGGTTTATGGTCATGGCGAATAAGAATACTAATTATCAATAAATAAGAATGGATCAATGATGTCTGGATTAATAAATAATATGTCACTGATGGTTGCTTCACATGCTCAACATACCATTTTGTACTCTGATCAGTTTTTCAGTCAGAGACAAAATATCTTGTTGTGCCTGCTGAAGAGCTCTCTCAAGTTTCTTTTTTCCCCTGAGAAATATAAACCAAGACAAAACAAAACTAATTTAGTTTTAACAGAGACTGTTTTAATTAACCTCAAATGAATCCAACTGTCATAATCAGAACATGATAAACGACATGCAATTCACTTTGTGAAGTACACAACCATGCTACTTTCCACCATTATTAGATCTCAACACCCATGAATAAAAGAGAAATCAAAGAGCAAAAGTGTTCCTTTTTGCAATCAACAAGGAAGTTACTAACATTGATTCTTATCACTGACTTCGTGGGCACAGAATAAAGTAAAATATACATTTCACAGCAAAGGATTAACATTTACAAACAGCTACACCATATATACAAAATTAGAAGACTTTGCTGATTCATTTTTGACTTAAATAACTGTTACAATACAGCAAAGACTAAACTGTATTTACACCTCAAATTGGCGCTTTCTATCAACATGCAGTGCAGATCGGAGAATGATCGATATCCAGCTTGATAAAACACTACAGTTATTGTTAATTAGCAGATAAACAAAAATGTGAAGTGATCACTCAACTAGATCTCACAATTTTAAAATCTCTAGTGTTAACACACTAACCATCATCCGTTGGATCTATAATCCATCAAATATTAAAAAAATGGACTTTCCCTTCTTCCAAATGGAGTGTTCACTTTAGAATGAAACCCAATACCACAAAGACACTGCCTGTGTCTAGTGTGTTGACCTATCACTTCAGGGTTTATGTTTAACAGAAATCTGAAGACTCTTCTTGAAAATGCCTAGCAACTGTGTTTTCATTAGCATCAAAACAATAGAGGCTCATGTGCTCTCTTGAGATTCTCACAATGAAACCACTTAATGAGCATTGATCCAATGCATACCAAACAGTTGAATGACTCAAAACTAATTAATGTTTAGAGATTAGCATGACCTAATTTGAATAACAACAGTGAGTTACTACTTTTCATAATCTAATTGAGTTATCACAAATAAAAGCTTTTCTTTTGAATAACCCTTTATCTTGATTTTCCTTTGGAGTAAGTGAAAGTAAACAAACATGACGTTCTATTCCAAAGGAACGTGACTAAAAACTTGGCATTTTTCATTACAGCCATATTATTATGCTTTTGTTTTTAACTGGTTTTTGTTGGTTGACACAAAGGAAGGGTTAAAAATGCTTGTCCTGCTTTCTAATCACCTTTATCTAATATATATAAAGAAACTAGTTAAAAAGTATCTGGCGAAGAGGCTTTGTACAGTTATATTACTCATTCTAATGAAGGAAGGTAAGATTAATTTACACCAAATGTCAAGGTACAAAATGTAATTCTAGTTCACTCAGTCTATAAGTACCCCTAGACAAGTTAAATAACTAAGGTACAGTGTAATTAGCTTGATCCTCTTAAAAAGGACAGCTCTAGTTTCATTGGTAAGTATGGTTTCCTGTTTCTCACCTCTGCCCTCATCATTTGATAAGTTCTTATTTTTATAGAATTCTTCTGGAAACTAAGGGTTCGTATTTCTAGTACTTGTAAGCTACAAACAATGCAAGAAAAATTGCCAAATGTGATCTTCACCCAGTGAGAAATAAACATGCTGTGTATTTCTTTTGGTTAAAAATGTCTTAAGAAGTAAAATCAACTTCTGCTTCGACTTGCAGTGATGGCACAGATCCTGTAATTTGTTCAAGCATGGCAAAAATAAATTGAATAGGGATAAAGCAACCAACCTCGCGGGCCACTGATACTACTGCATCAAAACAAGATTGCAAGGCCAGCCTTGAAAGGAAGTATGGTACATGAACCTAAGCTTGCGTACAAAATGGTCTTTATTTGTGTCTAATTATTCATGTTTCTGTTTATTTGCATATTCTTTCATTCATTTATTGATGGGTGGATCAAACTTGCATCATAAAGATAATCAGATTAGGCTTGAAAGATGTTTTAATTTATAACTTACTTTTTGGTTTCTTTTGGATTTGCTACTTCTAAAGCTTTGATAACATCTTTTGAGACTGTAGCCAGTCTCTGAGTTGCTTTTTCTGCTTTGTCCAGGGCCTCTCTGGAAAAATTAAAGCAAGAAAGATACACCTGGCTATTTAAAACTGTATCATTAGTTGATACCATCAAATCCCTTTAATCAGCTTGATGACCATAACATATTGGCTTGGCCATTGATGAAAACAGTAACATATACATCAATTATGGGTAAAATCTGCTCCTCAGCCAAGTAGCAAATGCTGCTTAAAAGGCCTGTCCTGGTTTTCAGTGTTATAGTAACTACTAGAGTATAAACAATTTCCCATCATGTTGACGATGATGTATCTGGTTTTTTTACTTGTTCAGTTATTGAATGAGTTCAATTTGGCTTCTTAACTTAAACTTACAGTCAGTTGTGATAGATAGCCTTCAGTGAGTAATTACCTGACTTGCACACCAACATCTTCAATATCAAAGTCTGGAGGTTCTATGTCAAATTGATCTTCATTTCTACCATTCTGTGAGAAAAACTATGAGCAAAAAAAACAAAGAACCTTAACTAAATAAATAAATGTAATTACACTCAGAGATGGGTAAAAAAGTTCTCAATCACTTGACTTCCGCAAGAAGACAATTGCTCCAAAAGCTGGTTTATAGCCTACTGTGCCAATCATAGGACCCACAACACAACTTGATACCTGAAGTTCACTTGTAGCCGACAAAGTTAACTCAGATCAGAACTTAATAAAGTAACTATTGTTTGTATACCATAATGTAGAATCACGTTGCATTAAAAGAGTAATTTATTGTACAGTACAACATCAAAAATGTATCTAGTAATAAAAAAAAATTATCTTTCAAACACCAATGGCAATTACCTGAAATGTCATGTTGCTGACAAAGTTTACATCAAGTTTGTCAAAATTTTGGTTGCAAAATCACTATCTGGATTCATTTAATACACAGAATGAAGTAGTGCATGCACTTACCTCTTGTAACTGGGCTAAAAGCTGAAAAAAAAAGTATATATTTCCATCATTTGGCCAGTAGCCTAAATTTTTCTTCCTATAATACACTTAAATGCTGTTTACAACTTTTGACAAATATTTGACAGTTTATCAAAGAATCTGTACATTCAAATTTAAGAAAGTTTAAACTTCAAATACCAAAGAGTAACTGACTTACCCTGGCTCTACGTCCACACAGATTTTCAAATCCAACGATAAAAACTGCAACTTGCTGTTGATACTAAGGCAAACATAATAAAATATTCTTTATTTTCATTTTAGTTACTGATTGCAAAGACAATGAAAACATAAATAATATATCTTATCATGTGGCAAGGTAGTATTAAGGTAAATCTGAGTCCTTTGATTGGTTCTTACTATATGGATTTTGCTATTATGGACCAGTCCTCCACAGATATGATCATAAGAGGCATATTTTTAGTGGTGAAACCCAGCAAATTCAAAATAAGCAAGTTTGGTCCAAGTGTCATATAATAAAAACTACTGACTAAGTGTGCTTGCTCAAGCCACTGGGGAATAATTTGGCCTTTGTACAAAAACAACCTGCAGCCAAAGTATGGTCCTTGCACTCAGTTACTATGAGGGTAACAATTATTCCATGAGTGCGCATTGGATATGAGATGATAGATAGCCAACGAGGCACATAGCGCCTTGTTGGCTATCTATCGTCTCATATCCAACAAGCACGAGTGGAATAATTGTTTTATCAAAAAAAACGCCCCCAAGATATTAGACAAATCTTCTCGACTTTATTTTGTAAGAAGAAACTGGATTTTACAAAGTACAGATATTAGATTATGGTATATTATCATATACCATAATGGCTAAGCCAATAAAAAGTCTTGAATCACAGTATCCAATGATCCAGTTTTTAATTATAAGTAATATCAAAGAGGTGGTCAGTTTATAAGTTAGAAAGCCCATCACATCAAAGTTTGTCTCCATTTCAGTACCACGAATCAGGAAATGGATAGAAGAACTTGGAGACTTATAGTAGAGGGGGACTTAGGGATTTTCAGTTTTGCCGTTTTGACTGTTTTTTGGATCAGATTTTTGGTTTTTGGGCCAAAAAGGTTTGGTTTTTCGGTTTTGATGTTCAGAGCGGTTTGCGGATTTTACACGTTTTTGCATTTGGTTTTTGGTTTTCATGAAAATTCTGATGCAGTTTTCGGTTTTCATGAAAACTCTGATGCAGTTTTCGGTTTTTCCTTTTTGACCCCCTTCAAAGGTGAAAGTGTAGCAGTTTTGTCAGGTTTGTGTGGGGTTTTCAGTTTTGCTGCCTTTTTTCGTCGGTTTTTCTGTTTTGGAGGTTTTTTTCTCCGGTTTTGCGGTTTCCCAGAGGCCCTAATGCCCCCCTCATGGTATAATTTCCTCTGTCAATACCATCCTGAGCTCAAATGCCCACCATTTGATTTTAAGTTGGAACATGCATTGACCAGTTTTTTTTTAACCAGGTCCCCCAGGGAACAGGTAGAATTCTCTTTTGGGAAAGCCACTCTCTCACTCACTTGTGCACTGTGTAAATTTCATTAGCCACATTTCAATCCAGTTCCTGAATTGTCCCCAGTTGTCTCATACTGACCAGTCTCAAAAGGCACCTCATTACATTCAAAAGTGATTGATCCTACCCAATTCAATAATGAATCTTACCTTTCGCTTAGCTACTGGGTCTGATAATATAATTAGCAGCTGCGTCTGTGAAAAACAGGTGATAAGCAATGCATTTGTTTAAGTTAGAAGTTGCATCACAAAAAGGCAGGTCTATTCTCTAATCTCCCTTACAGATCTGCTGGCCACTAGTCACTTACAGCCAAGATACAATACGCCCTAAAATAATGTTGGAAAATAACACCAAAGGGTTGCTGTAAAAACCAAATTAAAAACTTTACACTTGGCAAAAGATTGAATTTCAGAGCAGTCACACTCAAAAAAATTACTTAAAACAGGCTTCTCCCTAAGGTTGAAGATTTCATGAAAGCATTTTTGAAGCTTATAGTAAGGGAAGTGAAGAAAACATATATTGATAGACCCATACTTTTTACCGAAAATTGATGCCCTCTACGTAATTAAAAAGATTAGATTTTGAGGTCAGACATGAAGAGGAACTGTCCTGTAAGTGATAAATGGTTTGTTATGGAGTCAACACGTAGTGTTATCAGTATCTCTTGTTTTGGTGACAATTTCCAACAAGGTAGAATTATCACTAATGTAAGGTCAGTTGTAATATTGAGTCTTACATAACAATTATGCGAAACCTGACTGGTATATCACGAAATGATCAAGAGGTGCCAACACGAGACTGACCAGATCAGTTGGTTAGATAACCAGCCACGAAGATATCACTGAAGTGTGAATGTAGTTGAACAAAAAAAAAAACAAAAAAAAAACAAGAAAAGTATACAATGAAATTTTTCACCTTAAGACACTGAACGCACTGATAATCTCATGACTTAAAAACACACTCCCAATATTTACAATGAATAATTTGAGAAAGCATGAATGCAGTAGGCAATTTTCCCTATGTAGGCAAGAGTTTTTATTTCCATTGAAAGACTGAGCGGCCATGGTTTTTAAAATCGGGGATACGATAAAACAATAGTTTTCAAGTAACGTTAATTATTACGCCAGAATTAACAAACTAGATAAAAATATAGAGGCAAGTTAGTTGCACTTCGAGTACTCTTGCACCAACTCAGTTGAATCATGCTCAAGTGAGCAAAATTTATCTTCATGGATCTCACTGAAGATCTTACATAAGAAACAAACTTCAGTATACATACGCTTAAGAACAAGTTGCTTTTGTCTTAATCTCACCTTTATACTGCTACACGAATGCACAGTACGTGAACTCAAGTCACGAACGAAAATTGCAAGACAAAGAGTGTGCAAAGCGAAAAAGGCAAGGCAATTCACATTGACGCCTCTTGATTCCCTTGGGGCTATGAAGGGAGAAAACAAGATGACGGCTTCGCATTGAAGCCAAGCTTACGGCTCGAGTCACATCAATAATCAAAGATTGAACACCAGTCGTGCTTTATAGTATGAAAATTACACGTAAAAAACTTTTGCCCACCATATCGTCCACAAATTCCAAAGTCGCTTGCTCTCGGATAAAATCTTCGGCGATACGTTCGACTTCTTTGTCGTCGAGTTGATGTCCGGACAATTTTTCGCTCAGCTCGTACGCGTCTATAGTCTATAGATGAAAATGAAGTCATTAGAGCAAAGAGGATAAATGTAAGAGGGTGTAAAATAGGAAGTCGGCATTGCTGGACCAAATTCCTTACCCTTGTAACCCGTTCGTGAATTCGAGTGAGTTCTTCTTGGGTCTCAACAACTTGTCTAAAGGCTTTCTTTCGCGCATTGTCTTGAATGATAGCCAATGCCGGAGCATCTCCACGCTGCGAAAAATCCTCTACTTCTAACATTTTTTCTTTACTGATCGACTAACCCATGATTAAAATAATATTTTTGCCCCGCAACGACCAGACACAGCGCTAAATACAGAGTTATGCAGATTAGCTTTGGGTTGCTATACAAAACTGTTTATGAAATTTCAAATATGCCTCAAAATGCTGTCAGGGGAGGGGTAAGAAAGCTTTTTTTTCGAAAATCCTTTGTTGCGAACACAGCAGAAAAACGGCGGGAAAATGCGAGATAGCTGTGAGGAACCGGTCCCAGTTAGTGTTTTTCTGTTTTGTTTACTAATTGGCTGTATCGTAAATACTTTTGTTCTTGGGCCATCGTAATTTGATAAAAAAATAAGACACAAACAGTAGTGATAAACAGATTGAACTTGCACATTTTGATTATGACTTGACGTTTCGTATGTACTCAACATACATTTTCAAAAGTAACTCGCTAAAGATGACAATACTTCAGCCATTGCTGACCATGTCAAGGCCACTCGACATCAAGTGGGAACATTTTGATATTTTGGTGCAGGGCAAAACAGACTACCATTGTAAAATCAAAGAGTCCTTACTTGTTCAAGAACTTGAGCCAGCTTTCAACGTGAACGTCGGAAGTGAGAAGCTGTTGCTTTATTAATCTGTTCTAGTGTTATTGTTTATTGTTAAGTTTTTTGCTTAATCTTGGTTCCAGTCCCCTCACCTTAGTTATATATATACATTGCTGTTTTAAATTTCGACGGTTACTTTTGAAAATGTATGTTGAGCAGGGGTGGATCCAGGTTTTGAAGTGAGTAGTTTCCACCCTGGGAGACACTCCCACTAGAGGGGTTCGGGGGCATGCTCCCCCCCCCGAGAAAATTTGAAATTTCGAGCTCTCTAAATGCCATTTCCTGCATTTTCAGATAATTTAATTGCACTAAAGAGAGCAAAATAGCATGTACCAAAAAGGCAAAAAGATTTTATTTTAAAGTTCTACATGAAACACTCGATCTACTAGCATCAGCTGCTATGCAAACCTGTGTCACTGATGTGTGTTCACTATGACCGTATAAAGTACGGTTTTCAGGAAAGTGAAGTCATCTCCAGAAACGGATCAGTAGTTTCTAAAGGGAGAGCAGAGTATTTTTGAAAAAAATGAGTGAGTTCCGGAACTCACGTAAACTACCCTGGATCCAACCCTGTTGAGTACATACGAAACGTCAAGTCATAATCAAAATGTGCAAGTTCAATATGTTTATCATTGCTGTTTGTCTTATTTTTGATCAAAATAATTTATTGGCTTTTTTTTGGTATCTATTCATTTATTTATTTCTTACATTTTCTTTCAATTCTAGAAACGTACGCCCGATACTCTATTATGTGTAGGAATTGAATTCGTGCATGATTCGGCCTTTAAATTGTGATATAATGAGGAAGTACGCATCAGAAACCTTTCTTTTTTTATCGCGCCATTGAGATGTATTTTTGAATCATAGTGGAAACACGTTTTGAACTTCATAAGTTTTCTTATCTTTCGAAAACTTCTCTCAAGTTCATTGAATTAAAATTCAAGTTTTAAAGCCGCCAATCAATCAAAACGATCTTTTCCACTCATGAGTAGAAAGTCTTTTCGCCAGTCTTTTGCTTAGCAGCCTGGCCGCTCATTAGAAACAAGTGCATCATATAGATCTGGGTCATCTGCCGAAGCTGAAGGCCGAGTCAGTTAAGACAGACATATTATTATAGAGTTTACTTATTTGTAGCAACTAGGGCATTAAAAAATGCGATAACATTCAATTTGCGTGCATATTACTAGCTGAAAGAGGAGCCACTCTTTTCTTTTTGCACGATATAACTGACCCACATAAGAAAATACTTTGGATGACCCGTATTGCTTGTGCCTTCAGATCTCGAATTCGCATGCAGTACACAAAAGGGTTTAACGACGAATTTGCCATAGCGACTAATGTCAATATATCCAGGATAAAAAGCGATGTACTACCGAAGCCTGCTATTGTTACAAACACCATAATGCAGATAAAAGGAATGTAAGTAAGTAAAAACAAACAAAATATCAGAAACATGCTATCTAGAGATTTTCGATAATGTTCCACCTGAAACGAGCGCAGAGCTTGTACATGAAGTTTTTGCTGTCTTAACTTTAGGTAGTTCTTCCCGTAAAAATACAGGGAAATGACAATACAGATGAAAACCACAATATTATTAACTATCTGTCTAAATTTAACACTAAAAATTATGGAGACCATACAAAAGGCGCAGATAAGCCAGCCCAAAATTACAGAAGCAGTAAAAGATTTCACAGTAACCACTGTCTTATATTTGGTGAGAAGATGAAGAGCGAGATATCTGTCCACGGCAATAATGGTCAGCGTCCATAGAGACGCCATATTGAAGAAAGAAGAGCTCAGGCTGAACGGCAGACCTACAGTACAGTAAAGCCAAACGTTGTCCCAAGCACTACCCAGCAGATACGCAACGAATAAGGGCTGAGTCAGTCCTATCGCAAGATCGGAGATAGCAAGACTGTAGAAGAGCGCTTTTGTAGCGGGGAGGATCGATTTACTGCGACGAAGAGCGAGTATAACGATTGTGTTGCCAAAGAGGGCTGTTAATGAGCACATTACGCTGCCGATAGCTTGTAAAGTGAAGGCAAACGATGAGTTCTGGCTTGCAAAAATGAAAAAGGAAATATCTAGGGAACAAGAGATGTTGTATTCGCCCGTAGGAGAAAGAGTACTGCCGAAGAACATTTGTGAAGAGTTAGCCATCGCCCAGGAAGTCTCACTTGATTAGAACTCAGTTGTCTCGAATCAGCGCAGAGAGCTATTCTTTGTGACGAAGAGATTTTTTTTCCTTTCAACTCAAAAGAGTGTGAAGGCAACTGTCGACCATTTCATTTATTCAAATTTATTTTTTACTAATGGATACTCCCAAGCTGTTCCGCTTTAATTTCTTCCTACTGTTGAACCCTAAGTATTACGCACGCATTCGTCAAGATAAAAGAGCACACCACGCCTTTTCCTTTTAATTACGATCTTATGCGGCGCAACTAGAATATACATGGATGGTCAAAAGTTTAAGTGCTATTGAAAACTTTAAAAGAACTCGACAGGCAAGTCACATATATAAAAGGGACAAGTGAAGTCAAAGTTCTTGGTCCTTGTTCCTTAATTAAGCTCTCTTTCGACTGTCCCTTGCCACGGCTGATGTGATCAACTTTGCA